GGGGCGGGGCGGGGCGGGGCGGGGCGTTCGATCCCATTCCATCACCGCAGAGCGGCAAACCTAACGGCACGACAAGGCGGTGCGCGGGCGGCAGCCCTCTGACTTCCATTCCAGGCACAGAGAGAGAGAGAGAGAGAGAGAGAGAGATAGAGCAGAGAAAAGACAGAGAGAGAGAGACGGAGGCAGAGAGAGAGAGAGAGAGAGAGAGAGAGAGAGAGAGAGAGAGAGAGAGAGAGAGACAGGCAGGCAGAGAGAACGCGCCCGAATGGCAGGTACGCACAAAGGTTCGGGCCGACGCTCGTTACGGCGCAACCACCAGACGCAAAAACAACACAAAACACCTTGAAAAAAAAAAAGAAAAAAAATTGCGCTCCTAACTCTATGTTAACCAGTCGCACACGTTTCGCGGGATGCCGACACGACGAAAGGTATAGTTTGGTAGAGTAATTTCACACGACTCAACTTGTGATATACGTTGAATTTCCAGAAAAAGCAGGCGGGTTTGCTGCATTGAGTCACCGCGTTCATTTTTTGGCAGTCGCCACGTGTATGTATTTCCGCAGCAGAGAAAAATGTCGCAATGACGTTTGTACCCACCATGCTATATTAGTCGCAAACAGTGCACTACGCCAAACGACTCGTGTCACATTCGGTAGGATTCTGTCTGTGTGTCGGCAGAGCAAGGCACGGGAAAGTCACGAGCTACCATTTGCGACAAAAACAACAACAAATAATGTCTTATTATGGGCAGGGGACAGTTCCAAAAACTCCCATAGTTTCAAAAGAGTTAGGATTTTAATAAGAGTTTTTCGAAAAATGTCGGAATTTTCCTCTTTGCTGAGATGTCCTCAAAATCTGAACAGAAACATTCCTAAATTTATGAAGACCATCGGGGCAACCGTGCCCAGTCGCCTGGGCCGTCGGGGCAACCCTACCAAGTCTCCCGGGACGCGTTATTTCGCGTGAAACGCTCTATTATGCGCTATTGCGTACTATTACGGGACACTGGTACAGACTATTGCGCGAGTGGTTACCCCTTCGTACGAGCAGCCTCTCAAATTACCCCCTTTTTCCTAAAAATAAAAATCAAACATTGTTTTCGACCGTGACTGTTGCACAATTCATATAATTTAATGTCGGGACTCACTCTTGTTGTTTCTGCTGAGGATGATGGGCTGCTGGTCCTCACGCTTCCACCGGATCCTGGGCTCCGGGAAGCCCTCGGCCCGGCAGGTGAGCGAGATGTCCTGGTTCTCGCGCACCGCGACGGCCGACGGCGTGCTCGTGTCGTCCATGATGTTGGGGGGCACTGCGGGAAAGAGCGACGCACAAGTGCAGAAAATTGCATGCCAAAACTCCCCCCGTCGATGGAGCGCTCATGTCAGAGTGCCTCCACTCTAAACGCCGTACTCGCCTAGCTTGCCAAAATTTTGGCACACTCTTTTACCATGCCATGTTTTAGCCGTCATTTGCCAAAACTTCATTTTTTTTTCAAAAGAAGGGGCTAACGGCGACTTCAAAGGGTAAACTTTTGGCAAGCAAAGAGGCCAAAAATGGCAGCCCCCAAACGACAGCCAAAATTTGTCAATCAAAAAGGAGTGTCAACGCCAACATTTTGCAAAGCTGGGTGACCATGGCGTTTAGAGTGTCGACTTGACTGGATTTGAACACTTCTCAGGGTTTCCTGTTAAACACTTTTCAGTGATCAAATATCTGGTCGAAAGTTTAGTGTGCAACGCAGCAGTTGAACTCTTTTGTTAACCGGTTTTAACGGTTGATGTATCAATGTAAATAAAAAGTTAACGTATGGAAGTGTCGGGCCTTAGCTGCTACTCACCCACGACCTGCAGGTAGCCGACTTGGTTGATCATGGGGTTGGTGTTGACCTGGCACATGTAGTACCCGCGGTCCTCCTGCTGCACCTGGTTGACGTGCAGCCGCCACGTCTTCTGGTTGTCGTGCGACACGCTCAGCCGGTTGATGCGCGCGATCACGTGCCGGTGGATGGTGAGGATCATCTGCCGATCGATGTGGATCCAGGCCACCTGCAACCAACCCCGTCAACCAGAGATGAGAAATGTGGTCAAAAACAAAAATTGGGAAAATCCAAAAGACGCGAAAACATGGCGTACGGCCGCTTTGCTTGCCGAAGTCCGAAAATTTCATTTCTGACTGCAAAATTTCTGTCTTTCTTCTGGCCTCTTTTGAATGCCGAGTTTTGGAATTCTTTGAAAGAACGTCAAATCATGGCATTGTAAGGAAAGAAGGTAAAATAATTGTCAGCCGACTGACATATCTTGGAGATCTCCAAAAGATTGCCGAAAATCGTCGTGGTCGAAATTTTAGCAATTAGCAAAGCTTTCCACACGGTAAAAACAATGTCTCTTTTTTGAGGAAAAAGGGAAAACTTTGAGGAACTCTCATTTGAGGAAGAGGCCACTGATCTCACCTCAGATTTTGAGGAATCTCCTCAAAATAGGAGGAAAAATCCCACATTTTTTTGGGAGACTTCCTCAATATCTGTGAAGTTGTTGTCAAACCATGGGGGAGTTCCTCAAAGTTTTCCGTATTCCCTCAAAAAATGAGACATTGTTTTTGCCGTGCATGGCGTTTGAAGTGGTGGAGGGGTTGAAAAGTAGAGAGTCAAGAGGACAAGGAGTCAAAAATCGAGTCCATGAAGCCGAAGCCGGGAGACGATCGGCCATCGCACTCCCGTGCGTGGGAGACTGCTACACAACATTCTCGTCTCTCTCGCGGGGGATCGGCGAGGAGGGATCGTGTTGCCAGGTGCTCCCCACATCCCCCTCCCCCGCTCACATTTCGGCTACTCGCGGCTCGTTCGCCTGTGTTCTCTTTCTCGTCGGAATTAAGTTTCCGCGTCGGTCGAGAAAGGCTAGAAAAAAACAACAACAAAAACAACACCAACGACTTGACCTGTCTTCTCTTTTC